TTGTAAAATTTTAATATTAAGTGTTTGAAATTAACATTATGAGATTTATTGGTTTGAGTAAATTTTAAATTAAATATGAATTTTGGTTTGTTGAATTTTTTACATAATTTTCATGCTAATAAATTGGGCGGGATTGGAAAATTTTTGCACATTTTGGATTCCCGCGTGCACCCAACATTACGATGTGCTTTTTGTCGGTAAAATAAACTCCGACAAGAACTATATTGGTAAATTACTCTATATATTACTACAACACTCTAACTTGCTTAGTTCTTCTTTCTTTCTTTCTGTCCTTCTTCTTCGTTTTTCTTCTCCTCCCTTCTCTGTTCCCCCTCTTGTCTTCCATTATTCAGATGCTGCTAGATTAGATGTATTATGTTTATAATTACATTATATTCATATAATTTTAGGTCTGCATCTTCTCAATTTCCTCTTTTTTTCTCTTCCATTCTTCTCTTTATGTGATTAAACACTAATTTGTATTATTAATCAATTTAATCCGCAATTCTAACTTTTTTCTAATTTTGTTTTCCAGGAAACATTGTTGGGAGAGACAATGGTATGATTAAATCAATTTTATTTATGTAAATCACCATTTAACTTCATTTCTATTTTGATTATTTTTATTTGGTTGAAATAATTATATATAAATAATAACTTAATTTATGCTTTTTTTTTATTTTTTTAGGAAATGGTGTTTTGTAAATTAACTCCATTGAGTGGGTTTGACAAATGAGAGGGTTTTGAGAGTCAAAACAGTGATTTATGAAGAAACTGTAAAAGAGAACAGAAATCCGATGCGGGTATAGTGTCGACACATAAATTTGGTGTCGACACCATATGCTAAGCATCCAAAGCAAGGGCACGAACGTGGTGTTGTTACAATGTTTATGGGTTTGGGGTATTCTTTATACTCCATTTATTAATAAATATTATTTTTTTCTGTTAAAAAAAAAAAACTCTATTGAGGTAATTTTTAATTTTTTGAATTATGTAATTATATTTTAGGTTTGTAATATTATTCTTATTTTTTAGATTTTGTTTTAATCATTAATTTGATTAAATAAACACAATAATTTTTTTATGTACTATAATATTTTAATATTATATTTATTTTTTATAAAATTAAATATTATGAATTATGTAATATTTAATTGTAAATTAATTGAATTAAATAAAAATTATA